GGAAAGGAAACTAACACCTTTACCAAATGTCAAGCGCAAGAGAGCAAGGATGATTTGGGTTTAATTTGCAGCACCAGGATCTTTGGTACACCTCTACGTACATATGTCCTATCTATCTGATGGCTGAATCTTACAAAAAGTTATTAAAATTATATTTGCACAAACAACAAACCAGTTAATTTAATTTAATTTTTTTTTTTTTTATGGAAGTCAAAACAATCTAAAAGAATTACAGGTGTCTTTTTTATCTTGTAGTACTTTAAAGCAAAAAAAACTTTCTACCTTAATATACTAAAGTCATACTTCATCACATCTTCACCGGCATGGAATTGGAAACGTGTGCCTGAGACAGCGTGGCAGTTTTGATTTGTCGGCCTGTCAATATCTGGATGAACCTTAGGCTTGAATTTTTTTCTTGGTTTATTCTCGATGGAGCCTCGGATGACATGAGCACATGCTGAGCCTTTCAGAGGGGCTTTTATGTTTTATTTGCACCAGCAGGGGATGGAATGGAGCCTGCTTGGTCTCCCTCCATCCAGGCCCTCTGCAGACCTATTAGAAGTGATCTGCTGTCCAGAGATGAGACGCCACAGAGCTGATTTATTATTCAGAGGATATTCATTGCCAGTGGATAAAAAAAAAAGAGAAAACAACACAAAAAAAACCAACACTATTGAATTCTGGTGATGGAAAAACAAAGACTTAGCCAGAATTTTTACAGGAAGTAGGATTTGTCTGAACTAACAGTGAAAAAAAAGGAAAATAAACAGAAGCAGACGACTTATCGGTCTGATTGTTCTGCCTGATTTCTCATTTCTTTGATCAGAGTTCAGCGCGGCTCAAAAACGGAGACAGAGTGGATTGATTTCAAGCAGGCAGATTTTCTCTCAGCTAATATTCAAAGCTCAAGGTCAAAGTAAGACCTGAACCTCATTAATGTAATAACAGTTCAGGTTCCTTCTTCTGAACAATGTTTTGCAATGCAGCATGTGATAACAAACAGGGTTTGGTGCAAAGTGCAAAATGCCAAAAAATGTAGAAGCTACAGTTTGAGAATTTTTGTTTATTTAATCTAATTTTAGATCAATTGATCTTAGTTGGTTTCTTTAGTCACAGGTGATTCTTGTATAAAGGAACAATCCAAAGAAAAACATACAGTCAAAACATTTTCAACACCATACTGAAATCTTAAAAAAAACAAAACAAAAACAAAAAAAAAACAAAAACATCCTGTTGTGATAAAATTGTTTAACAGGTTGCTTAAGCCTTGGGACAGGTTCCTCCACCAGCAGGACAGCAGCCTTAGATAAACTTTAAATCCAGGGCAACAATTTCTTTGATGAAAGCGTACTCATTTGGTAGAATGGACCTGTCAAAGTCTGCACTAAATTCATGTTAATGGATGCTTTCCATCAAATTGGACTGAGTTTGAGCCATTTTTGTTAGAAAAAAAGGGAAAAGCTAAAAGGGCCTACAGCTGTAACTGCAGCCAAACGTTGTTTACAAAGTTTTGACTCATGGCGAATGAACACAAAAACACATCCAATTTTTCTGATGTTTATTTACAAACAAAATATTCAAGACCTTTTCTTTTCCTCAAATTGAAAAAAAAAAAATCCATTAAACTTTATGGATTTAATTAGACTAAAAGCCATGCATTTTAAAGGCTATGAACATTTACTGTGGTTCTTAAGTATCTGCAATGCTGAATACTGGGTCAATGAAGCATAATCTCCTGAACTTTCTGGACTAATGTGAGAAGCACCCCCTGTGTCTCAACACCAGTAAGACAAAAGAGATGCTGATCGATTTCAGGAGAAGACCTCAGCCTCACTCCCCCCTGTGAACATCCAAGGGCAGGACATAAAAACTGTGGAGAGTTTCAAATACCTGGGAGTTCACGTCAACAAAAAACTGGACTGGGCTCATAACGCCGTCGCCCTGTAGAAGAAGGGTCAGAGCTGTCTCCACCTCCTGAAGAGGTGCTTCGTAGTGAGCAGGCCCCTGCTCAAAACCTTCTATGACTCTGT